TGTCCGGCACTGCTTGGGTGCAGCCGACTCGGAGGCACATCATTCATGGTCACCCTTGACCCTGGTTTTCCCCTCCACCTCCTGGGGGTGTCATAATTCATATCCTCCAAAGGGACACCTCCATAGCCCAGAGTCATCCATCAGGCTCTCCAGTTAGAACTTTGCACGGCAGAAACTTCGCTCACCTAGTGACTATCTTTGAAAACATTTATGGAATGCAGTTTCGGTTTACAAGCTGCTGCACTGCTCCCCCCTCCCTTTCTGTTGGCAACTCTAAAAAGAGCACGGAAATATTGTGAAAGTGAAAGTTGCCTTGATTTCCCAAACGATATAAGAAGATGCTCCAGAAGAGTTATAAACACAGCACAAAAAAATCATCCGTCGCTCTCTTTCTTCTTTGTGAAGAGAGATTGCGAAGGCCAGACTCCTCTCTAGAGCACTAAAAAAATCTCCACAGGCCGTTCTCATCCTGGACATTCATATTTCGAACAGTGACCATCAGGGAAACATTGTAGGTGTCTTAAAATGAGGACTAATAGACTTGAAAACAGTTTCTTTTCCAAGGCAGTAATTGTCTTGAATCAAACAGCGCATTTGTGATTTAGTCCTATGTATATAGTGGCATTTTTAAACTATTTAACTTACTAAATGTTTTAGACAGGTTTTAGACTAGGTATTATTATTATTATTATTATTATTATTATTATTATTATTTTAATTTTAAAATACTTGTAGTGGGATTGTGATGTGGTGTTTGGGGCCCTGTGCTGGAGTAGCTTTCAAATTTCACTGTATTCGTGGAATGCAATGACGATAATGGTGTACTATTCTATTCTATTCAACAAGTCACATAGTCCAATCTGGGGGCTTGTCTGGTTGTCTGGTTACTTTTCTCTTCCTCCTCTGGCCAGGAAGCAGCTGGATTGTCCTTGGCTCACAAGAGAACTATTTGGTTTCGGCTACAAAACCCCAGCTATCTCTACTAGCCCCTCTGCAGCTCCAGGCTGTTGTCAAGCCTGAAGCGATGTGAAAAGAAATCCCTATAACAAAAAAGCTACAGCCACATATTGGAATGTGCTGAAATGAGTAGATTGACATTTGAAATCGGAGAACAAGAAGATAAACAATTCTATGAAGTTTGGGACCTTTTCTATCAATGGTTAGATAATAAAATAGAATATTTAGAACCTTCAGGAACAATGAATACATATTTCCTTTTTTTCTATGATATTATCTTTATAAAATTGTATTAAGATAGACTTGCTATGACCTTATGATTTGCTATAAAATAAATTAAGTAAACTATAGTTATCTCGCTAAAGTATGAATTAATAAAATCATAGTCAAATGATTGTTTAATAATGATATCAGGCTATATAATTGTTGATTGATAATATGAGCTATTATGTAATATAACTACAATGGAGACTATGAAATGGATGCACACAAAAAAGTGACAAACCAACCGACACACTGTCTGTAAACTCATGAAGGAAAGGATGATGTTTTTAGGTTTTATGTGTTTTTGTTCGTTGTTAAAGTTAATAAAACTGTTTAAAAAAAAAAAAAGGTACAGCCACAGCCAGGTCAGTCTCAGGGTTGACATCCTCTTCCACTCCGTGTGTGTGTGGGGGGGGGGGGGGGGGTGGGGGGGGGGGGTGAATGAGACTTAGCTCAGGAGAATCAAGGAGGAGGCTAGACTTACCACACGCCTCGCGCTGACGCAGAACGAAGCAAGGGATGTCCGTCGGGCTCTGCGGGAGAAGAAAATTCATCAGCAAGAAAGGATTCAGGTGGCCTTAAGAGGGCAAAAGGTCAACCCTAAGGAGTCCCAGAGAGAGCGCTAACGACCAGAGGACTGTAAGGAGCATAAATCCTTCCATCTTCCACCACGCGGTCAGAACTGAAGAAGCTTCTTGGGTGGGAAGTGAAACATCTTCAGGGGAAAAACAAGGAAGCCCAGTGGCCTCTTGGAAGAAGCCCTGTTGGGACGATCCTGACCCGGATGGTGGAGAATCTCTACATCTCTTTTAGCTACACGCTGTGGGACAGACACCCTTGGAAGGTGTGGGAGTAGGAATGGATGTCCAGGGCGGGGGAACTGCAGACTGCAGGAACCGCTTGCGCTTCGGTTTGAGATGCAGGCAACCGCAGACGCATCCCTCACAGCCGGCGACTATTTTCAGTAGGGACACAGGGCAGAAAAACGTCCTGCAGCCAAGAAGGCTCCACACCCATTTGCACTACTCAGGTGATCCTGCAGGCAAACCTCCAAGTGGCCTCAAGGGCTCACTAAAAGAATGAAAATGACCAGCCATCCGCAAGGAATCGCTCCTCTCTCTTCTCTCTCTTTCTCTCTGCTCACTCTCTTTCTCTTTTCTCCCTTTCTTTCTTCTCTCCTTTCTTTCCTCTCTCTCTCTTCTCTCCTCTCGCTCCTTTCTTTCTGCTCTCTCCTTTCTCTATCTCTCTG